CTGACACACGGGGGAGGCCTAGGCCCTTCCCCAAATGATGTGACAGACTTTGATGATCCCCCATGGAAGGCCTCACCCTTTCTATGGAGCAGAAAAGGCATGGGATAGGGATCGGTGGGGGGCATGGGACAATGCGAGGGAGAGGAAACTGGGATTGATATGTAAAATAAGATTGTTTCTAATTTAAATAAAAAGACAAAAAACCAACATCTTTTGATTAACCTTATGTAATTTATGTCAGACACCTATGAGTGCAGTACCCACAGAGGCCAGATGGGGCACCTGATTCCCCTGAAACTGGAATTTCAGACAGTTACTACCCTGTGACTCCTGGAAATAACAGCTAGGTCCTCTAAGAACAGCCAGTGCACTGAGCCATCTCTCCAGTCCTTGCTTATTCGTTTTTAATATTGCTTTTCATTTACAGGTTGCTGTTATTTGCTTTAATTCTTAGCCATCCAGTGAGTTAGATATCATTTGTTCATTAAACTTCTTTGCAAATAACAGAAAAAACCCGAGTGTCTTAAACAAGTAGCACTGATTGGAAGATGTTTGACTTTGAGAACATAGGTTTGCTGTGGAAACTTTGGACAGGAAGCCCTTGGGCTTTTGAAGGGCCAGGAGAGTGGTTAAGACCCCATTAACCTCCTGGAAGCTCCTTGGTGTCTCTGCACTCTAGGCATTTGCTTCTTGTGTAGTCTTTCTCTGTCCATTAGTACAGAGACTCCGGCTTGGGATCAACTTCAGTCTCTGAAGTCGTGGACAGAAGTCATTTTGCCTGCTCACCACTCTGATAGAGATTGATTTTTTTCACTTGTAGCCTAATTTTAAAATATACTTATAGGGAGAAAACTGAGTAGGTGAGCCTTGTCCGGGTTTTTCTTACAATGACCATAAACTGGGTATCAGTTCCTCTGTATGTTGGAGGGCACTGAGAAGCGGGTGTGGCGGTTTGAATGAGAACGACCTCTAAAGGCTCATGTATTTGTGACAGATGTGCTGTTTGGGTGGGATTAGGATATGTGTCCTTGTTGGAGAAGGTGTGTCACTGTAGGTGGGGTTTGAGGTTTCCAAAGCCCAGACAGTCCCAATCTCCCCCCACTCTCTGTCTGTCTCTCTCTGTCTCCCTGTCTCTGTCTCAGTCTCTCTCTCTCTCTGCCACCTGCTGATCAGGATGTAAAGCTCTCAGCTACTGCCCTATTGCCATGCCTGTCTGCTTCTTTGCCTTGATGACCGTGGACTAACCAACTGAAACTGTAAGCAAGCCCCCGGTTAAATGCCTCCCTTTATAAGCTGCCTTGGTCATGGTGTCTCTTCACAGCAGTAAGAGCAGTAACTAAGACAGGGGAAAACTGGATTGGGTGGATATGCCACCATATTGCTAGTAGTTTTTAGATTAGGCAGTTAAACTGTATGGCCATCAAGTGAATTGTTCAAGTAGTCGTTTTTTAAGTATAAACATATAGACTCCAGAGGCCATATTTGCTTTAGATAGATAAGGCTACAGGGAAGTTATGACAGTAACATCATATTTGGTCTGTGTTGCTCATTTCTCATTTCATTGCTTGATAGATCACTGGAAGGTAAGAATTCCTTCTGTGGTTTTTGCTTGTGTTTCCAGGCTACTGCTGGGAGATAATGGACAGACACAGGTATTGGAATCTCCTCCTGGTCACCTGCTGTGCCCAGAGTGCTTTGATCCATCAGTGGAAGGATACTGAGTGAAAAGGGTCCACATGCCAATCTGGGCTGGCATCTCATCATTTAGCCAGACTCGCATCTTATGTTTAATGCCAGTAACTAAATCTCCAAGCTCAATTAGCAATGGTTACAGCCCAGTAAGCATGAATCAGAAACCGTTTTGACACGATGCTTCATTGGGGAGAAATGCAGTCACAGCCCTATGCCAGAGCCCATGGGGGAGGCCTTTGGTACCATGGTTCCCATTCTTGGGATGCTGTAATTAAAATATGCCACGATTTTATGGATTTATTTTTCTAAAGTTGAATGAGTAAAACTTGCCATGTGGTTTTGTAAAATGTCACTCTGTCTGAAATAGTCCTGGGGATTGGATGCTTGTTGGGAAAATCTCTTTATGTAGGAAGCACTGAAGCATGGACAGCAGGTGTGCTAGGGGTTGGCTGATTACTCCCACATGCGTCCCTTTATTCTCCATGTTTTCCTCTGATGATAAACTCAACACATCCTCTATTTTGTCATGTGGTTTTGGGTGGCACAGATCCCACACACAGTTCCAGAATTAGGCAATGATTGGCACAATTCGATGTGCATATTCTTCCTTTGGTCTCCCATATTAATTTCCACAGAGTCAAATGACCTTCTTTCAGGGTAACCAAAGAGAACCTAAGACCTGGCTGTGTGCCAGGGGAGCTGACATTTTTCTTTCCATGGATCATTCGGTATAAAAATGTGAGCCAAAACAGAAGCAGCTACTTTTGTGTTTTGTTGTCATGGAGCACATCTTAAGTTACTAGTTACTGTGTTTGAAGGAATATCCATCAAATGGGTTCTGACGATGAAGCTGGCTTGTGGAAGGCAGGGTCTGAAACAACAAAAACAACAACAACAACAACAAAACCCAAGACAACCAGGGTCCCTGGAAATATTAACTAAATGACTGAGCCAGCAAACTTCATTGTAAGACCCTCCCAAACTTTAACTCAATTACTTAATCCATTTGAGTGGTTTTCAACTATTTGTTAAAGATTCCAATCTCATATTTAGCATCTCTAAATACTTACTCTAAATAGATGCTTGCTTGGCAATTTGAATGGCTTCTTCCAAATGCTTGGCACACTTGTCTTTTGATGGTCAGTGGGTCAGAAATATAAAGAAATGATAAGTATAGATCCCGCTATAGACCCAGCTTTCTGTTTGCATGACTAATGCACATTTTTGGTCAGGGTTGAGATATGATAATTGCCTTATTTGACAGCATTTGCAGTCTTTTGATAGAAGGGAAAATAATTGTATAATCAGGTGGTAAATGCCTCTCCCTCCTTATGGTCTACCTTTATGAATTTTTAAGGGAGTGTGGAGCTGTGGCCCAAATGGTTTTCTCTCTGACTTTCAACTGTTGAAGTCTCATTAAGGATTCTGTGGACAGTAATGGACATTTTGACAAGTTTGCCTCATTTAACACAGTTCCTTTCCTTGTGTGTATCTGCTGAGCTGCCAATTCTGGTCTCTGGTTGTGACTTGGGAGGGCATCTGCTGAGGTAGAAGATGCTCCAGGGAAAGGCTTCTCAACTCTCTGAAGAACAGAGAATTTTGTGTTGCTCTACCTCTAGGCTTCTTTGTGTGTGAGCTTTTTTAGCTGGTTGTCAGAGTTCTCTTTATGTTTTAATTTGTGTCACAGGAAGCATCCTGATGCATTCTGTCAGGACCACGCAAATTAGGGAGCTGTTGATTCCCCTAAGGAGCCTAAACAGAGGAAAAGAAAAAGACATCTAAATACATCTGCAGTGGCTCTTTTTGGTTTGTCTGGCCATTCTGGTTCTCTGTGTTTGGCCTGGTCCTCAGACCTGGACGAGATGAGGGGTCTCTGTGATTGCTAAATTTAGAGGGATCTATTTTACAAAGTAGTGGCACTTGAATATTATTCATAGATCATCATAAATTCATGGGCTCACTCTCATACACACTTAAGAAAACATCTTTTTTTTATGAGTGTATGCAGGGATGGTGTTAAAATACTTAACAAGCATTTTAAGAATATAAATTCATGTATAATCCAAGCAAGAAATAAAAAAATCATCTGCATGTGATGGCACATGCCTTTAATCCCAGCACTCGGGAGGCAGAGACAGGCAGAGCTATGAGTTCAAGACCAGCCTGGTCTGCAGAGTGAGTTCTAGGAAAGCCAGGGCCACACAGAGAAACCCCATCTTTTTTTTTTTTTTTGGTTTTATGAGACAGGGTTTCTCTGTTTTGGAGGCTGTCGGTCCAGCCTGGCCTCAAACTCACAGAGATCCGCCTGCCTCTGCCTCCCGAGTGCTGGCATTAAAGGCGTGCGCCACCAACGCCCGACGAGAAACCCCATCTTTAAAAGCCAATAAATAAATGAAAAGAAATAAATGATTATTGCTTAATATTTTCTGTTCTAAACTTACCAAATGATCTAAATTGTGAGACACATAGCTCATTAAAATGACCATGTTTTACAGATCGGTTGTTGACTCTTAGGAATTGTGGCTGTGATGTGTTGTTGTAAGTGTTGTTAAGTGACGTGTTGTGGCCGGGAATAGGGGCTTTCATCAATCTTGTACTTCAGTCTCTCTGTTCTATTTACTGCATAGTCATTAGGAGATCTGCAGTCTTAAGGAACACAGAGTTGCTTTTAAAGCCAGTAACATTATGCATGGTTCTGAGACCTCTCGGATCTTCTGCTGAACTCAGCAATTGCATTAAAATTCTTTCTGAGCTTTTACAATGCTGCCTAAAACTTATATGGATAAATTCTCTCTTATCAAGTAAGCCATGAAAATCACTTATTGGAATGTCATTTTTAATTAAGCTGAAAGTGTACTTGAGGCCAAATGAGAGCTTGTACAGTGTGAAGGTTAAGCATGTACCTCTCTTTTGCTAGGGTGCCTGGGTTTGGAGCCACACCCTGTCACTAACATATTTTTCTTTAAAAAACATTTTTTTATTCTTTGAGAATTTAATACAATTTATTTTGAACATACTCAACCTCACTTCTCTAATTTCTCCAAGATCCACTCTCCCTTCTCCAACTTCCCAAACTTTGTGTCCTATTGTTATTATTTAAAAATAATCAACTGAATCTAATTTGTGCTGTCCATATATTCCTGGGTGTGAGACTGTCCACTGGAGTTACCAAGAGCCACACCCTTAAAGAAAACATTCTCTCTATCTCAGGAACTATCACCTGTCCACAGCTCCTTAGTTTGGGCTGATGGCTTGTGAACTATCCCCTCCTGGCCCAATCTTGTGTGGGCAACCACAACTTCTGTGATTTCATGAGTGTAGAGATCCCATGATGTGTAGGAGAATGTCTCACCTTGGTTTTCTCCAACCTTAGGCTCTACCAATGTTTCTGTCACTCTTTCTTAGTTATCCTTGACCTGGAAAGAGGACATGACACAGATGTTCCAATTGTGGCAGTTGTGGGTTTCTGTGTTAATCACCTATTGTCTATTGCACATAGAAACTTCTTGAATGATGGTCAAGAGTGTCACTGATCTATGAGTAGAGAGATACAAATTTAGAGTCCTGTTTCATATTAATTCCATTTAGCAGAATAATAGTAGGTCCACCTGAGGGACCTATGCGCTCCCAGCCATGGGCTCTTGTTCAGATTTATAGTACCAGACTTGTGTTTACTCCCGTGGAGTGAACCTTAAATTCAGCCAGAAAGGGGTTGCCTACTCCTATTACATTCACGCCACTATCCCACCCATGGACATACCTTGCTGTACCAGTCACAGCCATGGCAGTATTCACAGAGTTCACAACCAGAAAGGACTGTCCTCCTGCAGAGGCCAAGATAGCACCATCTAGTATTATGGACATATCTTGCTACACCACTCACAGTCATGATTGTCTTCACAGAGTTCACAGCCAGGCAGGACTGTCCTCTTGCAGAGGCCAATATAACACCATCCAGTATTATGAATCCTAGCCAGCAGAGAGGATGCTTACCAGTCAGCACTAATTTGATTCCTTTATGTCCTGTAACCAATGAATGTGGCATCTTCAGACACAGGGTTTTACTATTAATTTCTGGTATACATCCAAGAGCAACAGCAAAAGCCTGCACTTTTTGGCCATGCCACTTACACTGTAGACATATCCTTGTCCTGTGGTGGAGTATTAGTTGAAGATGTGTTGCATTTGTTTGTGCTGTGGAAAAAGATGCAAAGATGGGTTGCATTCTTTTATGCTGCATTTGTTTAACTCTGTGAAGCTGTGTTACTTTGCCTGACTTAAACAACTGATTGGCAGGCCAATAGCAAGGCAGGAGAGGGAGGGGTGGGGCTGCCAGACAGGGAGAGTAAATAGAAGGAGAAAAGGAGAACAGGGAGGAGAGAGAATAGGGGAAGGAGAAGGAGAGAGGCCATCAGGTGTCAGCCACCCAGCTACACAGCAAGCCGTGGAGTAAGAAGTAAAGAAAGGCATATAGGATAGAGACAGATAAAAGGCCAGAGGCAAAAGGTAGACGAGGTAATTTAAGAAAAGCTGGCTAGAATCAAGCCAAGCTAAGGCTGGACATTCATAAGTAAGAATAAGTCTCTGTGTGATTATTTGGGAGCTGAGTGGTAGGTCCCTGAGGGAGAAAAAATGTTTTTAAAAAAACCCCACTACCTTGTCCCTCAGGTTCTATTTCTGTAAAACACAAAATGATATGTCTAGGACTCTGAAAAACTGTTTCCCTCATTTGGGAGTGTCATTCAGGAAGCTTCCCAGCTGGTCTTAGCCAGCAGTGGCTCTTTCTCCCCTTGACTCAGCCATCTGTTATGTCCATTCCTCTCTGGCTCTTGCTGGACCTGGCTCATGGTGCCTTAAATTTCACAAGTGGCCACACAGAAATAAATCCAGGAGATTTTTGGCCTCGGGTGGGCAGCCATAGCTTTAGCTGTCTAGGTGGACATTTGAAGCTTGGTCCACGGTCAGGAATGTCCCTGTCTCTGCTTTTTCCAGGTGAGTACATGATAGCAGGTGAAGGCAAGGGTGGTCTCCAGGTAGCAGGTGAAGGATATGGGCATTTTTCAGCAAGGTGTGGAAGCGATCATCCAGTGCTCCCTACAGGCATGGCTAGCCACTGGAGACTGGAGACTGGCTGGAGACTCCACGGTAGGAAGTAAGCACAGATATGTTGGGACTTCTTGAGTGTCTTGGGCAACGAATGACAAAAGATACCAGCTAAGGGGTCCTGGTGGTCTAGGATGTGCTAACCCTTTCGTGTCTGGATTTGGGGATGTAGAGATTTGAGGATTTGGGGATGTAGAGATTTGAGGATTTGGGGAAAGAATTCCCCAGAGAGTCTGAATTAGTTGCTATTTATGGAAAACCAAAAACACCTCAATGTTTAGTAAACTGATACTGCCTCGCTGATCAAAGAAACAAACAAACAATAAAAAACAGTTATGTATCAAGCCTCAGTGATTAAAAGTGAGGGAGAATGGAGATTCAGTAAAGTAATCATATTTGGTATGTGGGGTAAAAAAATGGAAAGACAGGTCCACAATTAAGTTGCCCCAGCAAAAGAGTCATTGTGGAAGCTTTGGGACTAGCATCTAGGCCTGCTTGTCTGACAGTCATTACAGGCTGGTGTCCAGAGGAAACAGAAGTGGGAATGCTGCAGTGGACAGGAATGCCCAGGGTCCTCATAAATGGCCATTAGACTCGCAGGGTCACATCTTGTCATTTCACCATCTTTCTTCCCATGTCAAGTGGCAATTAAATGAGCACAAGTGAAATACAGGTGTGTCTCTCCATGTCTGTGGTTGCTCTAAAAGGCAAATGGGTTCTTCTTGGGTGGCTTTAGGGGCTTGTAGCACTTACATGTAGTTCCCTGAGTCCAGAGTTGTATCTCTGGGAAGTGAGCTGCCTGTCATGACCAGACAACCGGAGGGATGATTCCATTTCACTGAGCGTGAGGATCTGGTTTTAGAATCTGTGAGTGCCAAAGAACTGACGGTGATGTTTGCCCCTCCAGCAAAGAGACTTGCAAAATGCCTGCAGTAGTGACGAGGGTGGGCGGCCTGCTGGTGTTCTGGAGAGTCAGGTCCAGGTTGGTTTAAATGACAGTTTTTGACATTTTCTTTATGAATTTAGAAATCTTAAAATCATGCAGCTCTGATGGGAGCTGTTCCTTGGAGTGGTCCAGTCTCACACAAGCTGAACTGGGAATTAGGCCTTGCAAACTCATTAGTTTATATTGGGCTATGGAGGCAGCTTGGGCTGGCAACCTGTCTCAAATAGCAAATGGGTAAGTCAGCATCATCACTCAGTTTTACTTTTCACATGTGCAGATTTGCGTGTGTGTGTGTGTGTGTGTGTGTCTGTGTGCAGTGTGTGTGTGTGCTCGGTGTGTATGTATGTGTGCAGTGTGTGCGTGTGCAGTGTGTGTGCCTGTGCGTTGTGTGTGTGTGTGTGTGCGTTGTGTGTGTGTGCGCAGTGTGTGTGTGTGCAGTGTGTGCATGTGCGGGGTGTGTGTGTGTGGTGTGTGTGCACGTGCGTGTGTGCACGTGTGGTGTGTATGTATGTGTGCAGTGTGTGTGCATGTGCGGTGTGTCTCTGCATGTGTGTGTGCGGCGTGTGTGTGTATGTGTGCACGTGTGGTGTATATGTATGTGTGCAGTGTGTGTGCGTGTGCGGTGTGTGTGTGTGTCTCTGTGTGTGCGGTGTGTGTGTGCAGTGTGTGTGTGCAGTGTGTGTGTGCGGTGTGTGTGTGCGGTGTGTGTGTGTGGTGTGTGTGCGTCTATGTGTGTAGAAAGGTTATAAGGTGTTAAATACCATATCTTGACCTCTAGGCTGTGAACTCTGTGGCAGAGATTACACTTACACAAAACAGGGCTTTGTGCTCGTTTTCTGCATCTTTCCTTAGACCTCAATTCCTCCTCACCCTTTTCAGTATTTGAAGATGCCCTTGTCTTACTGAACGCTCTGGCCTTCATATATCCTGTTCCTGTCAGCTGAATCTTTGTGTCATCCTCAAAATTCTGACAGAAGTTCAAGTTCTGTCTCCAACTTGATGTCTGATGATATTAGGGTAGAAGGCCTCTGGGGGATAATCAGATCATCAGAGTAGGACCCCCAGGAATAATACACTTAGAGACCTCATAAAGGCCTGTAAGCCTCCAAGCTCCTTTGCCCTATAGCAAATGAGAACACAGTGAAAAGGATTCATGCTGAGAACCGGGAAGCATATTCTCACCAGACACTGAATCTCCCAGTTTCCAGTGCCAGACCTATAAGGAAAGACTAAACAAACAACAAGCAAACCTTTTTGATGTAGTTGTCTAGTCTATGGCATTTGCTATAGCAACCCAAATGGGCCACAGTAATTGTAATGATATGTGTTTTTCAGATATTTCCATGTTTATTCGGATTCTTTTAGACCATAGTCTCCAAAAATAATAGGGGTATTACTGTTTTAGATATCATTTAAAAGTGAACACATCATTGGTGAGGGGTGCAGACACTGTGACAGTAGCTGACACTTGGCAATTAACTATTCTGTAGGCACTGAAAGTGCCTGGCATATCACAGGTTCTTAGAGAAAATGGATTGAATGATGAGCACATGAGAGATAATGTATTGGTACTGAAATCTAAACTTTCTCTAAGATAATTTAATCATGAAAAGATAGGTTACAAGTTTGCAAGGAGACCTGGAAGCTATTTTTAGTTTATAATAACACCCAGAGTCTTGAATCTATATGCTTTCTATTGCTTTGCAAACCATAGCATCTGTAAAATGATTTTTTTATGTGTGTGTGTTTGAGGGGCATCAGGAGACTCACAGGTCTCATATGTGATCTTTGAAGTAAGTAGGCTGCAAATTTTTAGTGATTTTATTTTGGAATGTCAGATAACAGGCAGCTGAAATCGAAACAGCTTCAAATGTCATGAAATGTCTTCTTGTAATTCTTCTCAAGCATTAAATGCATTAGGTCTTAAAGACACAGTCTCCGTTTCCTGCATCACTGTAAATTTGAACTGTTCAAGCAGACAATCGCATCCAAGAAGCATTTCTTATCTGAATGGACTGCATTCTTGATTTCTTCCAAATCCTCACATTGGTTTTCCAGAGAACAGCAAAAACCAGAGCTTTGAAAACTTATTTCTTATAAATAATTTCTAGTAAATAGATTCTGTGACTCTCTGCTCTCTGTTCCAACTGTTTAGCTCTCTCCTGTACCAGCATAAAAGAAACAGCATTCTGCAGAGTTGTGGTTTATTCTCATAAAACTTTATATGTTAACAACCCAGCAGACCGGCTGCAAGTAGTGAGCTCTCTGGCCATTGGTTATACATGTAAGCTTTGAAATTAGACATGCAATGATTCAGATCCTGACTGTGCCATTTATAAATGTGAAGACATGCAGTAAAATTACACTTGCACATCTGTGAGAAGGCTGACCTCCTAGGGCTGTCGTGGGTTAAAGTGGAAAGTACACCTGACACTTGGGCATCTTGAGTTCTCTTCATTATCTCTCAATCTTTAGATCTCTAACTGCATGTCTTTATATGTAAACTTCATCTATCCTTATCTGGACATGGCTATAAAAATCGTATCACCTGTGAAGGCTGTGTCCTGTTTCTGCTTCATGGACCCTCTCAAAATCCTTCTATTTTGAAATAACTGTTGTGGACTGCATCTTTTTGTTTGATTGTTTCTATAAATGATTCTACACTAACTCACCTTGAACACAAGCCCTTGCATGTCCTTATGGTGCCCTCCTTAGGTTAAATTTGTCAGACTGGCATTAAAAGTTAAGCACAAGTATCTACCTTAAGGCATTCTCAAGGAATAGCTTTAAAGAAAGAATGATATTACAGGTTTTTTTTTTTGGCACCTGTAGTGTTTGGCAGTTATTTTATGATTTTTAAAAAGGTTATATATTTACTTATTATGTTCTGCCTGCATGCCAGAAGAGGGCACCAGATCTCATTATAGATGCTTGTGAACCACCATGTGGTTGCTGGGAATTGAACTCAGGACCTTTGGAAGAGCAGGCAGTACTCTTAACCCCTGAGCCATCTCTCCAGCCCCTTATGAATATTTACAGTGGGGTCTACCTCTATTTCCACTTCTACTTGTCAAAAATGTGTTTTTGTCTCAAATCTACCTGCTCACCTGTACAAGTGAAATTGTCTCTATATAGAGGCATTCTGATTGTGGGAAGGTCTACTCATGATAATCAGAAATTCAGAGTTCAAATTCAGACAAAGTTAAGCAAATCTGTATACTTAGCACTGCAGGAAAATTGGATTGTATTTCATGCCAAACAAAGATCTTGCTTTATGAAGACACAAATCTCATTAGTCTATGCCAAATTGTTTTTTAAATACAAGCCTTTTGGAATAATTCAAGCTCACTCTTGCAGGAATTAATCTATCTTTACTATGCCATTTGTAATTGCCGACCTGACAGGCCTTTACTGGATTTGTTTTGTACTATAAAGTGTTTAAGGTGGAAAATTAACATGATGAGACAAAATGTCACCTTTTGGGTGAAAACACTCAGCATCATTACCTCCTGAAGTGGCAGCACACCTCTTCTGAAGGATGGATGCATGGTGCCATTCTGGGAAAAGGCTTTAGTGGGCCATGCATTCCCCTTTTGAATATTCTAAAACATACAGCAGGGTTACATCTGAGACTGGTGTGATGTGTGTTGTGTTGTGTGTGTGAGTGATTGTGTGCTTATGTGTCTCTATATGCACATGCACAGAAGCTTGCAGAACTGCCTGGACTCTAAAACATGCACACCATTATTTTGTTCCTCATCAACCACAATTCTCAAGAAGATTCCACTGTAATTAATTTAAATTTATTCAATGGGCATTTGTTGAGCACAGTCTGAACTGAACACTGGAAAATGAAATGGAATGAGAGACTCAAGGGCTTTAGGGCACAGTGGACAGATCAGCCAGGGAAGGAAGTAACTGGAGATCAGGAATACTGGGATCCACGTAATACTGTCACCAGTAATGATGAGTACAGATGCCAGTGTCAGCCCTGATCAGCCTGGGAGAGACTAGAACAGGTACCACAGAGAAGGCTCACTTGTATCTAGTCTTGAAGAATGCATCCACCTGGCAGTATTACCGAAGGAAGGAAGTGTTTAAGGACACAGAAGCCAGGGAGTGGCATGGAATATTCAGGAATTGTTGAAGGCCAGGGAAGTGGGGGGCAGCCCTTGTTCTGGTCATGGGGCTCTTGGAAGGGACAGCTGAGAATAACAACTATTGGCCACCTTTGTATTAAATTCAAGACTGAAAACTCATGAGGCCACAGAAAATTTCTGCAGAAGCTACCTGTGGGTCTGTTGCTGGGACTGACTTGTGTGTGGCTAGTCTTGGATTCATTGCCCACTCTTTCACGTTTGAATATCCCGAGAAGACTTTAATCACGTGTTAGCCATGCTGCTGCAGGTTACCAGTTCACAGGTCACAGGCGCAGACGCTTGTTGACCAGCAAACACGTGTTGTAGAGATGGAAGGTGGTGCTTTAAGTCATTTCCAGTTTTCCAGAGAAGGCACAAACATGTAAAGGGCTCACAATGTAGGACTTGAGTGATGGTTGCTCCCCATTTAATTTGACAAGATTAGTACAAGTTCCAAAAGAAAAATTTAACTCAAGCCTCATTAGTATGCACAGGAATAGTATTCAACTTGTTGAAAATGAACCGTATTTTATAACATATACAAAATCTTATTTTGACAGTTTTTAAGTAGGGTGTTGATAAGTTGAAGTTACACAGGGGATGAACATTAGAGATATCAATGTAATACTTCAGGTAAATTTCTGTGACTGGATTTACCAAATCAGAGTTTGGAAACAATTTTAAGCTCATGTTGCAATACACATTTCCAAAATAGCTGTACTGTGTGGTGGTTTGAAAAAAAAATGACCCCAAATGGAGTGGCATTATTCAGAGGTGTGGCTTTGGTGGCAAAGGTATGGCCTTGTTAGAGGAAGTGTGTCACTATGGAGGCAGGCTTTGAGGTCTCATATATGCTCAAGCCATGCCCAGTGTCTCAGACTATTTCCTGTTGCCTGTACAAAATGTAGAACTCTCAGCCACCTCTCCAGTACCATGTTGGCCTGCATGCCACGATGTCACACCATGTATGATGATAACAGACTAAACCTCTGAAAATGTAAGCCACGCCCAGCAAATGGTTTTCCTTTATAAGAGTTGTCTTGGTTACGGTGCCTCTTCACAGCAACAGAAACCCTAGGAAAGACATAGTTTTTTTTTTTCATTGAAATGTTGTTAAAGTTGGCTGTTGTCATTTTAAAGTCTTTATGGGACAATTTAATCAGGGTTAGATCATTCTCACTGTAACATCAATTTCTTTGCTTACTAGTAAGGCCTTATGATCTCCATTCATTGAATGGTGCTTTTTCTATCCTGTGAAGCCGCTTTCTGGCTGGTGCTGCAATCCAAAAGGAGGGAAGGAAAAGGGTGAATTTTGCATTTGGGGATGAAGTGGAGAGACAGGTGCAAGATGCTAATGTTTTCAGTACCTGCTTGGATTGTATCACTTTGTGGGACATGGAAGAAAACTCTCACCCTGGTTGCTTAAATCAAAAAGGAAATTTAGCAGTTTACCCTCTCCAAGTCCTGCCGGTAGATTTGGCTTCTAGTTCGTCCAGAGTTCAGACGGTACTCTAGGGACAAGCTCCTGGATTCTGTGTCTTCCGTTTTGATGTGGAAGTCCCAGTTTCTGAAGCGAGCTCACACCTGATGCCTGTAAAGAAATTATAGAAGGGTTGATGTCCTCTAATTCCAAGTGAGGTTTCTGACTGCAGGCTAGCTTCTCTTGCCTGATCTCTTTGGGTTTGATTGGGTTGCCTCAACATCTTGTACCACTCACCAGATCTGGGGAATATGGTGTTTTGATTGGCTCAGACCTGTGTTACTTGATCCATTGGGCTGCTGGAGTCAGTTCACCTGTAGAACAACCTTGAAAATGAAATGAACTTACAGCAAAATGTTGCAGATTCAGCGTGAAGTCACTATTTGGGAAAGATGGGTGTTTTGTGATGGTGGAAATTAAAGAGGAGAAACACAGGCCCAAGCTACTGCTCTGTGTGCTATACATTGCCTCTGATTAAGCCTTGGTTTTCCAGCCAGCAATAGAGACAGCGTTAGGTAGTTAGTGAGAAATTAGAGGGGGTTGAAGATTCTTGGTCATAGACAACACACTCATTAATTAATTAATTAATCAATTTTACCTCCCGATGGCAGTTTCCCCTCCCTCCTCTCCTCTCATTTCCTTCCCCTGCCTCCCATCTGCTCCCCCCACTCCTCTTCTGTTTCTGTTCAGAAAAGGGCAGGACTCCCATATTTCAACAAAGCATAGCATAGCAAGTTGCAGTAGGACTAAGCACCCCCTCTTGTCTTCAGGCTGGGCAAGATGACCCAGTATGAGCCAGCCAAAGAGTTAGAGACAGCCTCTGCTCCCACTGTTAGGAATCCCTCAAGAAGACCAAGCTACACAATTGTCTCATATATGCAGAGGGCCTAGGTCAGTCCCATGCAGGCTCCCTGGTTGTTGGTTCAGTCTCTGTGAGTTCCTATGATCCCGGGTTATGTGATTCTGTGTGTTTTCTTGTGGTGTCCTTGATCCCTCTGGCTCCTACAGTCCTTCCTCCCTGACTTCTGCAGGATTCCCTGAGCTCTGCCTGGTATTCGGCCGTGGGTCTTTGCATCTGGACAATGCACCAATTTCAAGTGATGAAAGAGTTTCACAGCTGCTGCTCCTTGTAGGACTTCGTTGGGTCCATTAAGGAACAATTGGTTCCTCTTAGCCTGCTAATTCTATAGCTTCATTTTTTTCTTTAGCTTTTTTTGGGAAAGTAGTCTGTTGCATGATTTTTGATCAAAGGGATCAGATCTGAGTTGTGTCTCTGGCCCTGGGTGGAGATGTGACTCTCTGATAAGTAACAGAAACAGCGGTGTCCCCTCTCTTAAGAGTCAATTCAAATGGACAAGTCAGTCGCTGGGCAGGAAAAGGCATTCAAAAAACCTGTGTGGTCAGGGATTTAGGAGAGTATACAGTCTTCCTAACATGAGGTTGGCTTAGTGGTGTCTGTCATTACCGGGGATCACCCACTCAAAGTGTGCCCTTCACAATGGTCTTCACTCCTTGATGACGTGCTTTCCACCGTGGTCTCTGACATTTTTACTTTCACTGCTTGAGAGTGTGACTCCACAGCGGTCTGTCTGCCATGGCCCACCCCCACCCCTTGAGAGTGTGACTCTACAGTGGTCTCTCTGCCATTGCCCACCCCCACCCCTTGGGAGTGTGACTCCGCAGCGGTCTCTCTGCCATGGCCCACCTGTAGATTTTTAATGAGATAGTCACTAAGTTATTGTATTTCAATTCCAAACTTGCCCTAGTTTCTTAGTTTTTCGTGCTGAGACTGGCACTCGGAAAAGCACGATCCCTGGTGCCTTCCTGCTGAGCTCTGCCTATGGTGGAGGGCGAGCTGGGAGGTGTGCATCTACAGGAGGGAGGGCCTTTTCCCTTCCTGTTTAGTGACACAGCAATGCTTCTTCATCATGGCACTGACACTTGTCCTCAATAGCAGCAGTTGGTTCCCGTCTGTAGCTCCTCCAGAGCTCTTGGAGCTTGCCCTGTGATGATCCTGAGATGTTGTCAGTACTTGCTGCTCAGCCTCTCCTGGGACATGTGAATCTCAACTCGCCAGCCAGGCCTGCCCCCATCTCTCCCCGACCCTTCTTCTAGTCTTACGATTTACTACATGCACTGCGTGCTGTAGCACATTTATTCTCATCCATCGCCATGCTTTTAGAATACAATGTAAAATTGTATTTGTTATTATTGTGTGTGTGCGCATGAATATGTATGTGTGTGTGTGTGTGTGTGTGTTAGTGTGAGTGTACATGTCACAGTACACATGTGGGGTTATACAACAAGCCTTACTACTTCTTGTTTTTCAGGCCTTCAAAGAAGAAGCTGTTCTCTGAACATTTACTGCATGCTGGTATCTTCTTTTGCTTGTGTCAATTTCCCACCATATGGCTAATTATTTAAGTTAATTGTTTCCCTGAAGGTAACTGGTGGAGTTTCTGCTTCCTGGCTATACTCTGACTAAAGCAGTCCCCACACCAGTCTTCCTGCATTGTCTTGAACTATGCCTGGAAAAGATCATACTTATGGGAAATTAATACCAACTTCCCAATACCTGATGGACAAAGTTCAAACCTCCAGGCCTGCTGCATTACCACAGTGGTGTCTCTTTCTGTTAAGGATTACACCTTAGTTCCTGGGTACGTGGCACTTTGCTAGCTTCTAGTGTGCCATGGGCCACCACCGTCAGGCCACAGAACATGCAGTTCCTTCTGCTGAGAACATGGATATCTTCTGCCCTTTTAAGTGGGTAACTCATATGCACCCTTCAGGCATCAGCACAAGTGTCTCCCCACTTCTCTGTGGCATGCTATGCTGTTCCCTTGACCACATACATTATTTGCTTATCTTTTTCTGTTTTTTAAAAAAGATTTATTTTAATTTCGTGTGTGTGTGTGTGTGTGTGTGTGTGTGTGTGTGTGTGTAGCTTTGTGCATTTGTGAGTGCAGGTGCTCAAGGAGTCTAGAAGATGTTACCAGATAACCTGTAGCTGAAGTTACAGGTGGTTGTCAGTCACCTGAGGAGGGTGCTGGAATCAAACACTGGTCCTCTGGGAGACTAGGAGGTGCTCTTAACCATGAAGCCATCTCTTGAGCTCCATTATTTGCACACACACACACACACACACACACACACACACACACACACACACACACACACACACAGAGTCCTGTGGATTTCAAGCACCTTAGGAGCTGTCTGGAACTCAGTATTTACTATTTAGATATTAAACAAGGAATTCTTTAGACTGTTTCAATGCTTTCTTTTTCACTTGTATGAGCAAGGACAAAAATTTCAGTTAGCATTGCAACTGATCTAAGCCAGGCCTGCAATGATTACTGAGGGTTTCATCTCGATCCAAAGGACAAGTTAATATTATGAAAATTGCTAAAGTGAGACTCGAGGGCAACAAACAAGGTGCCTTAAAGACCCGGGATGTCTCCGGTGCTTCTGTGTGTCACTCTAGTGATGGAGGTGCACGGAGATCAGCTACTGACTCACCCGGTTAAAAGCCTTCCCATCACCCACAGCAGCTGCAGACTTGTACCAGCGATAAGCTGCAGAAGAAAATGAGATCATGACAAGCTCTTGCAGCGTGATTTCAGGATGCTAATGAGAGGCACTGGCTTTGAGAGGAAAACTGAATACACCTGTTTTTCTGAGGCTGTACTGAATGTTGATAAAACAGAGATACTTTGGGGTACAAATTGGCTTTGCTTCTAGCCTTGGTGCAATTGTTAGTTTATTAATCTGTGAAATGGTACTGTTGGTGCTGGGCAGTGGTGGCGTATGACTTTTGGCACCAACCTCATTTTATTTACTTAGAACTAAACAGGGCCATTGACTTAAGGTATTCAGTATTGAGTTGATAAATAGCAGTAGTTTGTGGAAAATTACTGTGTAGCCAGAGCTGATCTTATCTATTCACTCATTCATTATTTATCCAAAAACTATAATTGATTGTCTGGTAAATGCAATGATACCAAGGCAAATAAATCATAAAAATATCCTTCCTGTCATGGAGTTGGGACAGGAGAAGTAATCTGAAAAGTAAGGGCACATCAATAAACAACAGAATGCCAGTGGTGGAACATTTGCCTAATGTCTGTGAGGCCATGGTTTCAATCTCCAGCACACAGGGGCAAAACAGAGACACTTTTGTCAATTGACTTACTAATGTCCTCCAAGTGTTTTCTTATTTGTTGTCTGCTGTCTCATCCAAGATCACATGTGATATTTCATTACTGTGTCCCTTGAGTGGTCACTAAAGAACAGTTCCTTCCTTCGTGTTGACTTTCATGATTTTGATATTTTGGGGAGTTCAGGCCAGTTGTTTTGCAGAACGCTTTGGTGCTGTGATCTTATTTTCTGACTATGTAGGTTTAAAGACTGTGAAGTCAGCACAATGACTTAGTTAAGATTGGGAGCCAGATAACTGGATGCTGGCATGTAGAAGACTGTAGATAGATCCATGTCTATCGCCATGCACAAAACTTAAGTCCAAATGGATCAAAGACCTCAACATAAATCCAGCCACACTGAACCTCTTAAAAGAGAAAGTGGGAGGTACCCTTGAACAAATTGGTACAGGAGACAGCTTCCTGAACATAACCCCAGTACCACAGACATGGAGATCGACAATTAATAAATGGGGCCTCCTGAAACTGAGAAACTCCTGAAAGGCAAAGGACACAGTCAGCAAGACAAAAAGGCAGCTCACAGGATGGGAAACAATATTCACTAACCCCACATCTGACAGAGGGCTGATCTCTAAAACTTACAAGGAACTCAAGAAGCAAGTCTTCAAAACACCTAAGGATTCAATTAAAAAGTGGGAGTACAGAACTAAATAGAGAATTCTCAATAGAGGAGTCTAAAATAACGAGAGACATGTAAGAAAGTGCTTAACATCTGTTAAGAGAAGCTTTTTCCTTTTGCTAGCCGCTTTGGTTTATCCCCCGCCAGTCGCCTGGGCTCTGCCGCGCCAGCCTGGTTCTAGAGCCACATCAGTCCCAAATAAACACACAGAAGGCTATATTCATTATGAAGCTGTTGGCCTTGCTTGTCTCTTACTGGCTAGCTCTGCTTTA